GAATGTTCTTTGCTTTCATGTTTCTTTTTTTAGTAATATCTTGGAGAATGGACTATCAATTTCCTGCAGTTTGTCTAACAGAGGAGCAGAGGAACATGTGTCAATCCTGAGTGTCTTCCTTATATCCTGAGGGGGGTGAGGCGCTGGGTCTCCATGTCCACATCACTCCAGTTAAGGGCCAAAGTTGAAACTGCCTATACAGTACAATCAGTCAGCCTTGATGCACACTGGCTTTAAAATGTAGGGGGATAAATGTCCCCTTCAACTCTACAGTAGGAGCGATAAGAAATAGCAGGACTGTTAAACAAGTAATTTATCACAAACCTATTAACTATCAAGGCTGAAAATATCATTGGAATATGTGTGTACACACACTTGTGTCTGTGTGTGTTTGTGTGCATCTGTGTCATCATAACATATGCAAAGCTTTAATTTGGAAATCTACTCAAGGATTACTTGTTGGAATACACTCAAAAGATTAAGCATCCTCTGTGTTTTATGTCCTCCATTCTGACCTGCTTAGTATGTTTCCCATGTCCACAGCCTGCTTCAGGAAGTTCTATCTAAACTGTCACAAAAGGTAATAATCCATCATTTTGCTAAGAGAAACATAAGATATACTAAAGTTAGTTTGACCTATAACCTGACGGCCAGGTCATGAAGCTGTGTCACTTTGACTTTGATCTAACACTGGTCTAACATTTTTAAAAATGCAATAAATAAGGGTGGCAAAAAAAGAGTGCAATGGCATTCAATATTTTGGATGTTACATAACCAGTGATCTATCAGATGATGAGGACATTTACGAAGAGCAGAAGCTAACATGTTGGCTCACAAATTTAGGATGTGCTCGGTAACTGTGAAGACTTCTATATTCAAAACATTTTTAAAAACCTGCATGTAGCTAGAAAGTGTTACAGAGTCATCTCAAAGACTTTAAATATTCATCAGTCCACATTTAGACATATTGTCTATAAATGGAGACGATGTGGTACTATGACTACTCTACATAGAAGTGGGCGCCCAGCCAAGATCACTACAAAGGCTCAGTGCGGTAGATAAAGGAACCTAGAATAACAGCTAAAGACGTGAAGGAGTCACCGAAGTTGGTTAACATCTTTGTTCTTGAGTCAACCATATGCAAAGTATGGAACAGGCATGGTGTCTGTGGCATGGCTGAAGTTTGCCAAAGACCACCTTAACACTCCACAACTCTACTGGGAAAATGTCCTGGGGCCAGATGAAACAAAGGTAGAATAGTTTGGAAAGAGCACGCAGCACTACATATGGCGTAAAAAAAGAACAGCATACCACCATGAAAACATCATCCCAACAGTGAAGTGAAGTACAGTGGAGGGAGCATCATGATGTGCGGCTGCTTTGCTGGACCTGGACTGCTCGCCATTGTGGAGGGGAAAATGAATTCCCAAGTTTATCAAGGTATCCTACAGGATAATGTCAGGGTGGCTGTCCACAAGATGAAGCTCAGAGCAAGCTGGGGGATGCAGCACGACAGTGAGTCTAAACATCATAGTAAATCTATTACAGAATGGCTCTGGAGACACAAAATCCATCTTTTGGAGTCGCCCAGTCAGAGCCCAGACCTAAACCCAATAGAGATGCTGTGGAACGACATCAAGAGAGCTGTTCACACCAGACATCCTAACAATATGGCCAAGCTGAAGCAGGTCCCCAAAAAAATGGTCCAGAATTAATTGCTCTTGAATGTTGTGCAAGTCTAATCCAGCTAGAGCAAACACTTGCTTGAGGTTATTGCTGCCAAAGGTGGTTCAACCAGCTAATAAAACATTGCTGCCATTACATTTTCCACCATCACTTTATATGTTTAATGGGTGTGTTCAATAAAGTGATGAAAGATCATGAATGTTTGTGTTTTATCAGCTTAGAAAGATTGTTTGTTGGTATTTGTGACTTTGGTGAAAATCAGATCACATTTTATGACCAATTTATGCAGAAAACCAGGAAATTGCAAACAGTGCCATTACCTTTTCTTGCAACTGTATATATGTTTGCATACATACAGTATTAATTACTGTATGTATGCAAACATATATACAGTAATTAATACTGTATGTATGCAAACATACATACAGTATTAATTACTGTATGTATACTGTATTAATTTGCAAAATATATGGTTTATGATGGCTGACTCTAAACTAAGCTCTACATGGTTTACAACTAGAATGAGGAATCAGTGATGATCTTGCCTATGTTCAGTGTATTTTATTCAATTTTATTGTATGAATTATATTTTATTGCATCTGACTGCTCTATGAACTCCCCATTCACTGTGTCTAAAATAATATTTTGATGATGAATTACCATTTTCTTGGTGACGACATTAGAAACTATGGGATAGAAAAGGACTATGGTAATGCTCCTTATTCCTTTATTGTCCAAAGAGCCATTATCACACTCATTATACACAGGGAAAAAAACTGAATGTAGATCACAGTGTTCTGCTGTTAGAGCTTCACAAACTACACACACAAAAAAAACTCCAACTGCAGTAACTTCAAGATAAACTCTGGGATAGCTGGATGGATCATATTGGTACTAGCCATATTTTAGCGAGCTATTATTTGAGAGTTTAAAGATGTAATTTTTGGTCTGACTTGAACACAAATGATTGAATCAGATTTGACCTCTTGTGAGATTAGGTGTCTGTTTTTGGAGGAAAGGTCACAGAGTGAGATCACAAACTAAAGGGTTGGACGCCAATAAAATGTGTCTTTTTCTATTAACTCAATAAAATATTATAGTACTACAAATATGCTATGTCTTTCCTTGCTGTTAGAGAAGCCCTTCAACTTTACACCAGCAGCTATCAGCAAAGAAAGTGTGAAACAACCAAGAAATTCTCACACTGTAGAAGCTAATACAAGTGAACATGCTTCAAAAATTTCCTCAACAATAAATCAGTTAAAGCAGTTTAATGGGCTGTTTACTGTTCAATCCCATATGTAAGTTAAAATACCAAACCAAACAGGTTCAGTATAGAACCACTTATTTTAAGAATGTAAGAAAAGAAGAAAAAAAAACATTTGCACCAAACTTCCCTGTAAAAACTAACTATAATCACCATTTTTGTTATTGTATACCAGAAATGATCTTGTATCATTAACAAGAGCACCTAATGGAAGCCATTTGTTGAAGCAGCAGGATTTCAGATTCACACAGATGGGTACTTAGTTCATTATAACCCTTGAACTTGGCCTGGCATGGACAGAGTCATCCTGCTGTGCTTGTTTCAAAAGCATTTGGATTTATAGGATTATTCAGTGCATAGGCTGAGTAGCAATATTTGGATGGTTTCACACTGAGCCTTTGATTGGGAACAAAGTCTGTCACTCCACAGATAAAATATCGTCTCTGTGTGCCCACATTTATTTATACCACATGTGAGAAGGCTGTAAGTGCTGGGTCTATACATTTCACTTTCTGTTCTTTTACAGTATTTTATATAACTTTGTACAGTAGAAAGCAGTTGTATTTATAGCTGTTCATTGCAGTGAAACTAACTGACATATTAAAGCTGTATGCTTGAATACTTCAGTACAGTATCTCCTTCAAACAATAACAGAATATTAGTCCAGAATATCATTACTATTTATTGAACTTTAAGTAACAGAATGAAAGTATGAACCATAAAACATGCCGTATCAGATACCGATCAGATGCCGATCAGGTATTTGTTTGTTTTATTGTTCCTCAAAAACTATTCACACCAAGCCCAGTGCTCAAGCTGCTATATCGCATTACACACGTCATATGTGGGATCAAAAGCCATTAGATGCTAAACATTTTGATATTACGTAATAGGCTGTAGATGATTGACAAGCTGTAACCAGGACACTTACCCTGCATCACTTCCATATCCACATATTAAGGCATCCTTTGCTCCTTCAATTTTGTAAAAATTATCTAAGGAAAGGAGAACAAGAAGTTATTGCCTGTCCCCTTGTTGCTGTCACTGTACTTATCCAGTTAGTGTGCTTGAATGTTGTGTTGACTGAAAAGACTAGCAGATTTTTAAATACCAGGTAATTTTGGTGGAGGGTGTGCAAAATATGTGTTTTAAAAAAGCAGAGGGAGGGGGGACACTGAGTTTTAATTCAACATAACCCTGTTTTGTTACGGTGCTAAGCTCCTCTACTCGTCTTTAGTTTTTGGCTGACCTTCACTGGTGAGAAAGTCCACACTGGAGCTCCAGGTTCTGTTGTTGCAGAAGAAGGATCCGTTGGGGCTGAATGAGGAGTTGACACAATGCGCAAGGCTGCGGACACACTTTTGTCGCAGGAGCCCCATGAAAAGCTGTAGGCCAATGAGGGCAAACACACTGAGACAGAAGACAGTTAGGATCATCACATCTGCCAGCTTCTTCACAGACTGGATCAAAGCGCCAACGATAGTCTTTAGACCTTGACAGAAAAGAAGAGACAGTAAAAGTTAGTAATAACTTTGGCTTTACAGAGATTTTGCAGGCATGTTTGGAAACAAGAGGACATACAGACACAGCCTGTGGTTTGACCTGTTAGTCACCTTACCTGGAATGACTGATATGGTTTTCAGTGCTCGTAATACTCTGAAGGTTCTTAATGCAGAGACGTTTCCAAGGTCCACGAATTCTGTCACATATCTGGTATGTGATATAAAGAAAGAAGGAGATTTAACAAAGTAGGTCTTCTGTATGGCATGGTATACTTGACCTCATGTATAACATGCCTTAACAAATACATTTCATATTAATAACACGGGTTTCTAATAAGGTTTTTTAAATGTGCTTATTGTCTGAGTGTAACCCTAACCCTTCTTCAAGGGGACTTACAGTGCATTAAAACATTTTTTGGCCACATGGCCATAAAGACAATGGAGCTGACATACTTTTTCGGTTCAAATGGCTAATGTATTAGTACACAGATGCCTTTTTACACATGCAGCAAATACAATGCATACATTTGTTTCTGGCCAGCTGATGTTTCTAAGTCAAAATATTCACTTTTTTTATACATTTGTTTTTGCTATCCAAAACCTGAGAAATAACTGGCCTTTAGCTGCTAAATGCTAACAGGCATGTTCGCCAGCTAGTTGCTAACTACCTTTAACTACTGTGATAGGCAGGCAATACAGGTTTTTTGTTTTGCTTTTTTCAAAGTGATTTGCTAAAAACAGCCACCTGGTGTGGTTATAAACACTGCTAAAGGAGCGGTAAAAGTGAATCAAAACTGTAACGTTGTGGCCTGGAAAACCCAGAAAACATTATAAAACTCACCACAGGCTGAGAGGAAACCACAAAATACAATTCTGTCTAGTTTCGTTAAGTCTTTTTGTATTCAAGTAGTCATGTGATGCACTGATAAGATAAAAACACAGATTACAGCGTCCTTAAGAGTTGAAACAACAGAGGAAAGCATGTATAAGGAACTTGCGAGATAAAATGACATCAACGAATTTGAGCCATAATTAATCAAAAACAAATTAATCACCTTAGGTAATGAGAATCTATGCCCAGTAAAGATGATTTTGACTTGCTGTTTCCAAACAAATCAAATAACCTATCAGGATAATTGGTCTCTGACAATGCAGCAGCTTTGAGAGGTCACCTGTCTAATCCTCCATCATCATGGGTAGTGAGTCATGGCACAGAGAACTCTGACCACTACAACAGGCTTATCCTTTATGGTTTTTCAAATCACCACTCAGGATGACTGCAGTCACTTTGACATTACTGAAAAATACTGAAAGGAGGAAATTTTGGTTTATCTGCACAATAATACAGTTTGCACAAAAACTGTCCCACAAGACAAAACCTGCCCACTAAAGGTGGACCTTTTTTAATGTGATGTTTCTCTGGTAGTTTCTACACACACATGTGGAAAATGTAGGCACAGTTAATGGAAAGTACTGTACATTTCAGGTGAGACTTGATCATTTATATAATGATATTGTTACTCACGCCATGACAATGACGGTGAAGTCCAACCAGTTCCATGGGTCTCTCAAGAAAGTAAACGGTACCATACAAAATCCTCTGGCTAATATCTTTATTGCTGACTCAAATGTGTAAATGGCAGTGAAAGTATACCTGGAAAAATGTATGGAGGAAGAAGAAATTGCAGTGTTACACTGAACTCAATGTTGCACAAGAACAAATTTAAGCATTAAAAACTGTAACAGTGAATAGTGAAATCAGACTTACTATAAACCATGAATAATTAATAATGTGCAAACACGTGTAGCCCAACAATTTTACACTGGATGCAACAAATGATTTGTACTAACATAATTATGGATGAGTGATGTCACTGCCAGATTGTCCAGTATACAAGCCATAATATAACAAGCTGGAACTGTTTAATAAGACAATATTACTGTAGTCTACATTAATATGTGTTCCATGTTTACAAGTACAGTACATTACAGACATGTGAAAAGTAAAGTACTGTAAGCCAATGCAGTACACATAGGCAACAAACTGAATTTTAAAAAAATGGTAAAGACTTTCCAATTTGTGTCAAACTTGTAAACAGTTTTTTAAATCATGTCTGCCACTAAAGACTGGAAGTAGCTAGCTTGGCTCTGTCCAAAGGTAACAAAAGCGCCATGGTAACACCTCTACTGATTTTATGAATTATTTAATCTATACAAAAACCAAAGTGTAAAAATTAGCAGTGGCAATTTTATGGTAAAAGAGGTTAAATGTCAAACTACAGTATTTCTGAGCCCAGCTGGAGCACTGACTTCCTAAAGACTTCACTGGCTACCTCACAGTCTCAAACAGAGCCAGGCTAGCTGTTGCCCTTGTTTCAGTCCCTAAGCCCAAGCTAAGATAACATAAACTAAGATAATGCCAAGCTTAACAGCTACTGGCTGTAACTTCATATTTAAAATGACAGTGGCACCAATCTTCTCATTTAACTCTTGGCAAGAAATCAAGTGGTTTCTCTTGAAATTGAAAAACTGAAAACAAATTGCTAAAGTTGCAAAAGTGAAAGTCCTTGTCTGTGCAGATTGCATGCCACATGCTAAAACTGCCTGGGAACAACTGATGATAACTACATGCATTATATTCGGAGTGTAGAAAATGTTACGTGCATTACATTACTTACATGAGAACTGATTCTTCAATCTCTGATAAAGCAACAAATCCCAGCAAAACCCCATATTAGAACACATATAGCACAGATCAGACAACAGCTTATACAGTATTTCGCATGTACTTACTCCAGGTACTTGGTCCATGGTGCTGGATCAGACATGGCCATGAAGAAACAATTGGTCAGTATAGTGAACATTATGAACAGGCTAAACAAAGTGGAAAAAGGGTTAAGGAAAGTGTACTGTGAAATAAGCATTTATAGCCTGTGACAATGTATCAATGTATCCAAATACACTTATAATATTTGTAATATTTTAGCTGCAAAGAACCAGCAAACGTTGACAGATATTCAATAGATGATTTAACAAATACATGTTCTGTAATTTATAACATAAAATAAGGAGATCCAGAGAAAAGACTCCTTCCTGCATGTAAAGCACAGTCTGGCTGTCTGAGAACTAATAGCCAGCTGTCACATGATGTGAAATCTCCTTGCTCTTATTTCATTTCAGAGATTAGAAGAGGGATATTAGGGGATTTGGTTTGTGATGCCAGAAAGAACCATTACAAAGCTGTTTGAAAAATGGGACTATGGAAAAATCCCTTAGAAATGTACAGGGGAAGTTGGTAAATATTAAAAATTGGCTTATCTGTTAGTATGAAATGACTGACTTCTGGCCTTGTTACAACATAAAATTAACATTTTGGTGGAAATATTACTAAGGGATTTGTTCTGAGCAAGCTGCCTGACAATTAATACTAAAATACCTAAAGTATCTTTTCCATTATTTTCATCTATATTTCAATCATGTTGACCCACTGGTAGTAGGCTATATTTGTAATTTTGCTAATACCGTCCTTTGACAAACCAAGTTAGGTGACAGGTAATGTCAACCACCAAGAAATAACCAACCGTGATTATTTTATATGTCCATGGCAGGGACAGGCACACGGTCAGGGCAAACAGAAAGGATATGAATGGACTAAAATTTTAATTGCAATTGATCTGATGAAGTGAAAAGGACTAAAAATGTAAAGTGCAGATGTGGCACTGAATCTGAAGATGGCCTTCCCCTTGTTAAGGACTATAAAAGTCTGCAAAGAAAACAGAAAACCAAACATTTAAAATATTATTCCTCAGAATCTGCAAATAAAACAAACTAGCCAAATGTAAATACATATTAAAAACAATTTCCCCTCATATACAGGCACATTTTGTTAGCTTTGCAGAAAATCTCAACAACAGTTTATCTGTTTTCTTTACCCAGCAGAGATGATAATGTATATCTGCTGTGTTGAGTCTACCGCTCTGACTGCCATATAAGTAAAACAGTGACTGCCCATACAAAAGTGAGACCAGCTGAGATCATGGAGACAGATCCAAAAAGGTTGACCCTTTCTTCAACACAGGTGGATTTATTTAAAAAGCCCATGGCTGCTCATTTTGCTTATTTCCAGCCATTTAATGTTTAATCTTGGGTACCTCTAGATTAGCTTTGCACCCCTCATAACTCCAAATTGTCTGTAAATATTTTAGAACGATAAAGCCAGAGAGCCTCGTCCTAAAAATGAGAGGATAGCTCACGAATGAGCACAACTCCTGTTGCTGGTGTTATGTCAAAAGTGAACAGCACAACAAACTGAAACACCATTAATTAATTTGAATCTCTCCTCCACAAATAGGTAACCAACAGTATATGTACCGATGAAGAGATGTGTTACACTCTAAACAAGACGGGTAATTGAGAAACCCCATATTTTAACTGGCATAATGCAGACATAGTAACATCTCCAGCCTTACAACAGTTCTCTCTAATGTTACAGAAACAACACATTTCCTGCAATTATCATTTCAAACATCAGTTCACATTTTGTACTACCAATTACTATTTTCTGAGCTAATGCCATAAAAGTGAAGACTGAAGGATTCTAAATCTCAATTGGTCAATCTTAGTTCCTCATCAAAGAATAAGATGAACTAAGGCAAACAACTTTTCCTTAACTTGTGGGTGTTGTCACCAAAAGATGTCTCTGGCCCTACAGGTGTTGTCACCAAAAGATGTCTCTGGCCCTACAGGTGTTGTCACCAAAAGATGTCTCTGGCCCTACAGATAACTGGCTGTGTTAACTACTCTACACTGCCATTTTGGCCAAGTTGCACATAAAAGATGCTTTTTTCAAGAAATTGTATGATTAAAAAAAGGCTACACAAAGATATATATAATAATTCTGAAAATGAACATACTGTATATATTCCAAACAGTGCTCATATGAATGTGGAATTTAATATTATTTGTAGTAGTCAGTTGGAGTTCTTCAAATTGGAAAAAATAAATACATGGTTCGTATTGGCAATATGGGCACTACGCCTGGACTAATTTAGTTTAAGGACACAAACAGGTTAGTGCAGAAGTCGTTAAGAGTTTGTGGTGTCCTTGCCTTTATGGGAAACTTAATCCTGTAGAGTTAAAACATATCATGAGCATCTTCAGTGACATATTGTTTAGGGATAGCTTGGACTGGAATGAAAGACAACTTCACCTGCACAAATACACAGATAAATGTGAATCTGCACGGACACACACAGATAAACCCTCAATATACCCACATGTAGAAATAATCGGTCATCTGTTGTGCAGACAAACATGTGTGTGTATGTCGGTGCTAACACATCTGTACCCAGTAACCCAGTAACACGCACACACAATCACTCTCACCCTCTGGTTCTTGTAGTAAAATTGATCAATATCTTCCAGTGGCACCCCAATAAGTTCTGGAGGGATGTCACCATAGATGCGTGGCAGCTGCTTGCCTGCCTCCAGGTCGGCCATGGGTTTGGGTGGCTCTGCGCTCCTGTGAGCCTCCTGGCAAACCTTGGCATTCTTGGCCTGCTCCTCCACAATCCGCTGCTCCAGCGCAGCCAAGGATTCGCGAGTAAACCGCTGCAAACCATTAGGACCCGTTGGTAACAGCATGGCTGCCATCTTTTCATTCTGATTCTCATGTACTAGAATTTACTTACAGCTACAGGGGCAGAGTGAAAACAAAAGGAAAGCAGATAAAGGAGGTGAGAGAAAATAATCAATATAATTAATTATTAATTAATTAATATAATTGAATCATACAGCCTTATGAAAAACAAAATGTCCTTGGCACAACAAATTAAATTATTTCTAGTTTTTCAAATTACTTAAAAGCTGCCTTAATCAATACTTTTATCATGGAGGAAATTACTATAATATGAAAATGTTTTTTGCCTCAGAGGGCCACAGACAATGATCATGGAACCCTGCATTTTACGCAGCTTTATTTATTTTCCTAGCAACTTTCAGCTCTTTACTTTGGTTGTGTGTCATTGTTTATCATTCACTTTGAGTCTCATTGCTCTCATTAGCATACAGTAGTTTTCAGCAGACAGGTATCTTGTATGAAAAAGCTCTGATACACCCACTGTTTATGTCTATCACCAGCTAGCTGACAGAAAAAATGGCTAGCATGTGAACATAAAGAGTGAGATATTTTGGGTTTGCAGAAAGCAAAACAGGTGCAACAGTAGACTGATTATTGGACTTTCAACAGGTGGACACAAACATCACTCCAAATGAATGTTGCTCCATATCTGCTTGATGTCTCACAATAGCCATTGTTTGCTTTGCTTTGAAAGAACAACAAAAAACCAGAGACGACATAAATTCTTTACCCTTCCCATTGACCACCAGCCTTCTATGATCCAACTGTCTCTGTCAAACTAGGCCAGCCCTAGCTGTGAGTCACACAGATTAAGCCCACAGCCTGTAGCTCTGATCAGGGGTTTTCACCAGTGATGATTTAGCATGGTGATCACTTGTTTGCCTCTTGAACTGAAGGAAACTGCCTGGACTTAGTCCTGACAGCTGCACAAAAGACATACTCTTACATTTGCAACAGCACACCAAAATGCACTATTACTGTAAAATCCAAAATGTCCGCCTATTTCTGTGTTTATATTTTTAAACTATACTGTGCCAAGTTGCAAAAGATTATCAGTGAAACAGTGCAGACTGATTAAATGATCAATGTCACATAATGATGCTGAAAGGTGAATGTCAATATGACAATGTGTAGAGTGTGAACTCAAACATGGTTCCAGTTGATGAAATCTGGGATTTCTGGACCTTGGTTATACTTCAAATTTGAGGACATTGTTTTTTGGGGTAGTTATAAACACAATACTGACATATCAACTTACAAAGTTGTTACTGGCATGCATGCAAATACATTATGGCGTTGCCATTCATTCAGAGCATGTGTCAGGCAAATGTAAGTCAAATATCCATTTTCCTTTTTGCTCTGTTTTTAGTCTTCACTAGTTCCTGAGGGAAATATCCACCTTTAACTGCCAAATGCTCCACTATGTTCACCAGCTAGTCACTAACTGCATCTGTTTTCTTTGCCAGCTGTTTGGACATGTAGCATGCAATTGCTTTCTTTGAGCTTTTTCTAATGAAAACAGCTGTGGCAAGAAATTTGGTTAAGAGTAGTGAAGGTGAATAAAAACTGAAGTTGTAGGCTGTAAAACCAAAACAATGAGCTGAAAGATGCTCAGGCAGTCCAGAGAACTAAGAAAAACTGCACAGGTGAATTGTTATGTGTGAGGCTATACAGGACTCATATGCAGACACGAAGACAAGAAAGGAAGAAGAGAACGGGACATGAACAAACTAAAGCTCATAGAAAACACCAAAATCCAAAAATACCAGGCTCCAGAGTGATGAAGGGGAATACACAAAGGGCAGAGGCCTTATGACACGCAGGCAAGGACCAAAACAGGAGAAACCAACAACTAACTGAGGGATGTGAGGTGAATTTAAAGGTTGAGCCAGGAAAGCAAATGAGCAAAAGGTGAAGGCGAAGAGCACAAGACAGGAAATAAAATCAAAACTGATGATTTACTATGTAAAAATGAAGCTAAAATATTGTGAATATGGCGGCCTGCAAGTCCTTCGGCATCATGAAAGCCCCCTCCCACCCCAGGTACAGCCTCTTCCAACTCTTACCATCTGGCTGGAGGTACCAAAGTATCAGGACCTTCTCAGCACGCTTTATACAGAAAACTCTAAGCCATGAACATTCAGGAGAAAATACACTGGCCGTTGGTTAAATCCAGGTTGTTTCTGCTAATGTAGGACTGCTTGAACTTAGTCATTTTTGGTTTACAGTTTTAGTTTCAGTCTACAATTATTTTATTTTTTGCACACCTATTTATTATTTTGCACTCATCCCTGTGTCTGGTCTGCTGTATATTGCACTGGGGCCCATGAGAAACAACATTTAATTTCCCTGAATAAATGATAATCAACAGCTTGGGTCTACATATGGATGTCAAAAATCTGTCTAAAAAGAGTGTGTGTGTTTTGTTGTTATTAGCAAACTCTGTTCCTCCACACTAAAACAAAGAATAAAGACAACTTGCAGGTAATCTGATCAAAGACTGAAGTCACGATCTAAATAAAGGGCTTTCTACTACCAAAGATTCACTCCCACATTTTACCCAGTGTCAGTCTGATATTTTAATAACTGAAAAGGCTTTCCAAAGACAGGATTACATTTCTTTGTTCCCCTTTTGACAGAGAGGTACCATTGTATCCTTTTCATACTGGCTAAGCTCTGGGAGTCCATCTCCTCCTGTCCTGAAATGCATTGATCCCGTCACACGTTCAGCCAGACGCGAGTTATCTGCTTTCACTTATTTGGCCCAAGTTGATTTCAGGTCAGCTCGTCTCATACACTGAATCTGGTGCTTTCCCATTCACCATCACAATAAATAGGTTAAGGTCCATTTGCAGCATCACAAAGCAGATAAACAGGTTCAAAGCAATGGTGTTTCTGTCATGATGTTACAGGATGTGACGAATCATTCACAGGCAGCCACAGTGGTAACAACAAACCGTAAGAAGCTGTTAGAGTGATCTAGCACGACTATCCAAACTGTATATTAATATTATTGAGCTACTGGGAGAACATATGCCACGTGCACAGTTTTGGTTTGCATGCCAGGTTAATTAAGAGAAGAAATGGTAGTAAGGAATTAGACTGGACAGAGGCATAGCTGCCAGATGTAATAGGTCATCACAGCAAATAATTATGATAATTTGATTAAAAGTATAGTGGCGCCATAGATCGCCACTTTTGACACACACACACACACACGCACACTTGTACTTCTATCTTTGTGAGGACACTCACTGACATAATGCATTCCCTAGCCCCTTACCATAACCTTAACCATCAGAACTAAATGCCTAATACCTAACCTAAACCTAATTGTAACCTGAACCCTAAAACCAAGTCTTAACCCTCAAAAAAAGGTGCTTCAGAAAGTGAGGACCCACCAAAATGTCCTCACTTCTTCCACCACTCGCTTTGTCTGAAATGATTACTTAATAATTACTAACTCATTAACAGTATCACCTCTTTGCCACCATGTTGTTTTACTCTTCATTTATAACACTTCAACTGGACTGTGTCAGCTGCTTTGCTCTGTACCCATATCTAAGTTTCAGCTGCCATATTCTGAGACAGGAGACAAATATGCTGTTTATGGCCCCAGACTCTGGAACTCGCTACCGCTTGAGATTAGGTCTATTACTGAGTTAGCGGTTTTTTAATCCACATTAAAAACACACCTTTTTAAACAGGCTTTTGCTCTTTAATTTGTTTTATCTGTTTAAACAGCATTGTGTACATGTTGTTCTATGTTTTTTGACTGTTTAATGTTGGTTGATTGTTTGATTATTGCTTTAGTCTATAGATGTGTTTTTACTGTGCAGCACTTTGGGCCCGTTCTGAGTTGTAAAGTGCTAAATAAATTATGCTTTATTATTATTATTATTATTATTAAATATCATTATGTGGATAGTGCAGAGGGAGGAACCTGAGGTCCCATTCTTACTTTGTAGCCTTCATCCTGAATGTCACTTAAACTGTTTATCAAGGGAAGCTCCTACAAATATCAATGTGGTTTCTGTTACTTTCCCCCTTGTTAATATTAAAATGATTTTATCCAGTTAGTAAAATTTCTTCTGCTTAGTCACAGACTTCTTGTCCAATTCTATTGTCTTAATATTTGAAAGGCCAGAAAAACACAAATCTCATGTTTCCCTTGAATTTTTCATTCATTCATTCATTTTCTACCGTTTGTTCCCTGAGCGGGGTCCAGAGCCAATCCCGGCCGGCAATCGGGCGAAGGCAGGGTGTACCCTGGACAGGTCGCCAATCCATCGCAGGGCTAACACATAGACAAACAACCACACACATGCACTCCTATGGGCAATTTAGATACACCAATCAACCTAAGCTGCATGTCTTTGGACTGTGGGAGGAAGCTGGAGTACCCAGAGAGAACCCACGCAAGCACAGGGAGAACATGCAAACTCTACACAGAAGGGTCCCAGGTGGGGCCCGAACCTGGAACTTTCTCGCTGTGATGCAACGGCGCTAACCACTGTGCCACCGTGCTGCCCTTTCCCTTGAATTTCTTGGATTTAATGTTACAGACTGAGTCTTTAAAACAGAACAAGTGTGATCACCTTATCATTATAATGGTCATTATATAACATGTACTACTGCTAAAATGTTTGCTAAGTATAAGAAAGGATATTTCTGCAAATGAACAATTATATTAAAGGTTTCTGTGGTAAAACTGGCATTTTGAATGTTTTTGTGTTACTTTTTCTCTAACATTAGGATTTAGTAATTCTCTGGATTTATGAGGTCAGGATACAAGATAATACAACGAGCATATCAGTTTGTTCTCTCACTGGTTATATACTGTAATCTCATATGAATGGTTTCATCCAGGACCACTTCATGCATGTAGTCACATGTTGCTGTTTCATTTAAAATGTTCGGGCCTGATTATATCTGCTGAAAACGTTTCTGCTTTCCTTAGTACATCATAGAATCTAACTCATCAGATTTGTCAGATACGTGCTAGTCCAACGTCTGCGTGTTTTCTCTATTGTAACAGTAACATATCAGAAATTACATATGCTTGTCTTCAAACAATGAATTAATGAAACTAATTAAACAAGCTGGACTTTGGACATAATCTGAGAGGTTCAAAACAAAGTTCCACTACATACTGGAGTTCAAAGTGTACATATCATCTCTCTGTTCTTCTCTCGGCATTTCTTTTGCAAAAACCTTTCTGTGTAATTGCAGCAGGTAGCTTGAACTCCTAGGTTACACAAGGTATAGAGCTAAGCTACACCATAAGACAGTGGTAAAATTATTGATGAAAAATGGTTTCTATGAGCTCTGCTGTTCCAGCCATAGATCCTTATGCCTATTTGAAGCCCCAGAAACAAGAAAATGCTAAAGCTATTCATCAGTTACAATAGAGAAGATGATGATCAAGACTTCAAGTTTCACATTCCAATTTTGGATGTCACCAAAAGAGGAAAATGGATCTCAGTTGTGTAACCACATGTCATTATGTAACCTGTCACCCAATGCACTTCAAAATGAGATAGTACATTTTTGCACTGGAAGCACTGTATATGTCATCTGCGTATGGTATTTGCAACAGAACAGTGAGAGACCATGAAAGTGAATCACTGAAGTGTAAACCTAAACATTAAATGGATGTTTTTCATTATGCTCTTTCTGGTATTTTATCTTTTGTATAGCCTAATATAAACCATGTTCATGATGTTTTAAATTATAGCTTAAGTGTAAAACCAGACTGCATGTCAAAATTAGAATTTAAGATTTTTTTTTTCTATGGTGTGGAGAAATGCTCTAGTAGCTGAAAAAGCAGAGGACAAAATAGTTTCATGGTACTTACACATGAAACTTTGATATTCACAGCATAATTTTCAGAGTTAAGTTCTTTGGGTTTCACAAGAAGGAAGAGCCAAAACCTCTGTGCAAAATCCATGTCTTCTCCTCAAGGCTTACTCTGCTTCATAATGGACCAAAACTCCAATCAACAGTGTAGAGAAGTGTCAGCAGAATCCAAAGTTTAGCTTTCAAAACTGAGGTCTAGACAAAAACCAGCGGTCTCATCACCTTATGCTGGACATTTTAAGACCCGCCACACGTACGACGTACACGCAGTCCTCTTCCCTTCCATTCGAATGGCTGCTCCGTATTCATCCTACAGAGTAAAGGTCCTGAGCCGCAGGACTTAAGAGAGGATGCTGCTGCGCAGTGGCGGCAGAGGTGCACATTGAGCAAAAAAGGGAGGGAGGATGGTGCTAGACAGACAGTATAAGGGAAACTTTTACCCAGTTGTCTGTGCGCTACCGACCACTCAAAGGTTGACATAAAACGACCTGCTTTAATTCATCTAGTCTTTACCTTTAGGGGACACAATAACCTAATGTCAGACATGACTTTTTGAGGATCTGGTGGACATGTGTGGTTGTCTGAATTTTAATTGGTGCCTATAGGCTACATCAACTTCACTACCGTAAACAAGTAGAGGAATTATGCCAATCAGAAATAAAAACTGTGAATTCGATTTGGAATCAAAGCTTGTTGCACTTGAATGAAACCTAATATGACATGATTTAAAATCATAATATGACATGTTGTGATCAGTTGGCTGAGGGGCGGACACTTTGGTTTTAGCTGTAGCCCATATCTACAGTGTTTGTGTTTTATTGCGCCCTCTAGTGGCCAAATAATAGACTTTATAGAAGATGCACCATGTGTTGTTGAATAATAAAGAGCTGCAGCATATCTCATAAACCTGGCTGTCCTTCCGACCTTTGGACACTGAGGTCATGCCCCGTGCACCTTTTTTCAGCGACATTTTCTTCATGACAGCTTTACATATTAAAAAACTAGCATTTATACCTTCATGTTTTGGAAATAGCCTACAGTTGTAACTCTTTACCTCTGTAGACTAGGCTATTTCAAAAACTGTTGACTACAGTGTGATCCAAAATATTAAGCTATATTTCTGTTTTAACAAGAAATGTTTTAGTTAAGTACAAGATTACCTAACCTATCACTGTAGAGAGGGAAAATACAATATTTTTAAGTAATTCTGTTAAGGGATCAGGCCTAAAGGCTTGCTTGTTATTTGCCTACCTGTTTGTATATGTACGGATATACAGTAGCAGTGATGGTGAAAAAATAAACGTTTTCAGTGGGATTTTGTAAGATGTTTGATTGTGACCTATATAAATGCATGTTGGAATAGGAACGTAATTTTATGTGATTATATCTGAACATAGTCATCACAGATCCTTCTCCTAGGGACACCTGGCAGTCGCCTACCCTGCCTACTGGTAAAATCTGCCATTGGGCCAATTTTAAAGATTATGTTAAGAGTTTAAACATTTTGCTATCAGAGCCCAACCCTGTTGAAACCGGTTGCTTGACAATGAATTAATCCTCAGGAAACATTGCCTTCCTTGTCACTCTTTATACTTCTATATACAACCTCACTTTCCCCTTTGTTTAGAACTAAAGGCCACCTAACTCTGACGTATTACTGATGGTTGTAATAATCTGCTGGCACAAACAACACATGAGCTTGATTTTACAGGAAAACAAAATAGACATGTTTATATATTTCACACACAAAGGCCATGACATGTGGGTGAAAACTCCAGGAAAGGCAATTAAGTGAATTATGAGCTGAAATTTGTTTGTTTCATTCTAGAGCGCCATCCATCATGGGTTTCTTTCTACAGTGTAAGTAGAGGACTGGATAAAACCGCATTACCCATGAAGCTCAGGTGCATATGTTTTCCCTTTTTCCCGGATGTAGCATCACATGAATTGACTGTCAACATGCAAGATGGCCACGCATCACAGGCAAAATGCTGCTGGGCGGAGAAAAGTACAGGTAAATTATAAGAGTTGCACTACTGCTAAGTGTCTGGCAATTGTAACACCAGTGACCTCGCCTTAAAAACCAAGCCGCTTCAATGGTACTTGACAGACAGGAAAACCTGCCAGGAAGAGGCAGCGTTACTGTTATGAGTCATGTCTCAAGCCGGCTAACCTAGCTAGCATAGCGTACTTTAGTTGTTAGCATGTCATGCTAACATTGCCGCCTCAATGACTGATATTATATGCCTTTGAAAACAATTCCCATACAAATACGTTTAAAATACGTCGTAATGTAACTATGAAGGTCTGCAATCAGCATAAGTGATCAGTGTGGTAGCTTAGCCGCATTTTTATACAGTGTTAACGATAGCTTAGCTACACTGTATCCGGGCTCGGTCTAATTGCTGGGAGGAAAAAAATGTACGTGCCTCGGTGTTAGTATACATTATTACCATGTTAAATCATGTTATAAGTACAGAATCTGGCCATTGTTTAAATGAACCTATGTGGAGCTCATTGCATATATTTGTATGTCATTTAGTTTGGTTAACGTTACATGTTTCCTTGCTAACTCTGCACGCCCTTAGAATGAAAGTGCACGACCCCCGGCGTGTTAAACGACCAAAATATGCACACAGAAGTAGGTGTGTTCACTCTTTACTTGGTGTTTCAGGTGTCCTATGTCATTAGAGATGAAGTGGAGAAGTACAATCGAAATGGAGTGAATGCACTCCAGCTAGACCCGGCGCTGAACCGGCTCTTCACTGCTGGAAGGGACTCTATCATCCGGATATGGAGTGTCTACCAGCACAAAGTAAAACTTCTCTTAACCTGTATTAAAATAGACCACTTAATTTACTGTTCAGGCAGCTGTACTATCACATGCATCAGTGTTCCTTATTCTTTACTGTGGAGTTGTCTTACGTTTTCCTATCTGTCCTTGTAGCAGGACCCGTACATTGCCTCCATGGAGCATCATACAGACTGGGTTAATGACATAGTACTCTGTTGTAATGGAAAGACATGTGAGTTTGGTTTACAGCTGTTTTAGTTAGAACGTAGGTGTTGTGCAGTTTAGTTTTCAGCACTACATTTCTCACTCTGCTCTTCTCATGGACTTTCTTCCATTTGCAGTGATATCTGCCTCTTCAGATACAACAGTCAAAGTATGGAATGCACATAAAGGGTTCTGTATGTCAACGTTACGAACACACAAGGACTATGTGAAAGCTCTGGCCTACGCTAAGGACAAGGAGCTGGTGGCATCAGCAGGCCTGGACCGGCAGATCTTTCTTTGGGATGTGAATACACTGACGGCACTAACTGCTTCTAACAACACTGTCACCAGTACGTAGTGTTTGGTTTGTGTGACACTTATGCCCATTGCTGGGAGTTTTGATTATTCTGCATTTGTGCATTAGTTTTCTGTACTAGCTTATATCTTTCTGTGGACTTTCTGTTTTGTCTGCAACAGCCTCGTCACTGAGTGGGAACAAGGACTCTATCTACAGTCTTGCTATGAACCAGATGGGCACAGTTATTGTATCTGGATCCACAGAAAAGGTCTGTTTCAGTCACTGATGCTCACATACGAAAACATAGTTTTAACTAGGGTTGCAATACTATAAGATTTTTACTATACGATCACAGTCTCAGAAAATATTAGGGTTTCATGTTTTATGGTATTACATTATTGTTATTGTTATTATCAGCTACAGTGACTCTTAAAGGAAAGAAAATGCAAGGTTTTGTTGGTTGGACAAATACGTTAAGTGCAAGTGACTGTGACAGTTGGTTAAGCTGGATCTTGAAGTGTATTTGCAGAGACAGCTTAACCCTAAAGTGTTAACAGAATAAACAGAATTAACATGATAAAAAAAAATAGCATGCAACTATCACATGTTATCTAACTAAGGTATGTTAGCATGTGCATGTTGGCATGTTGGCACCAGTGAGAAGGTATTCACATCCTTTGGTAAAAGTATTAGTGTCACACTGTAAAAAGTATCTCTGTTAAAAGTAAACGTCCTGCGTTGAAAATGTAAAGTAAAAGTATGTAAGAATTTTCAAGAAAATGTATTTAAAGTATTAAAAGTAGAAGTGTTCAATGCAGAAAAATGCCCCGGGGACTGTTATGCAGTACTATGATATTACTCTTGCATTGTAAAAGCAGAATTATACACTTGTACTTGTTTGAGGTGGAACTCTTTGGAACTGCTTTGTATCAAAGTATAACTATTGATTATTTTCATTATGGATTAATGTGCTGATTGATTGACTTGCAAAAATTCTGACTGCCATCCCAGTGCTCTAAACAATTATCAGTATAGGTGCTAATTTACTGTGTGTGTGTTAAGGTGCGTGACAGCACAGGCAAACTCATCCTGTCCTTACCTTCACTCACACACACACACACACACACACACTCAAGTGAGCTGTGAAGGTTTGTGTGTGTGTGTTTCTTTGTGGGGTCAGATCAGGATCATTGTGAGTCCTTTTATAAGTCAGAGGTTAATGAACGGACAGACCCATGTGTTAAAACACAACAGGGAGTTGCTTTTCTGCCAGACTAATGCAAATGTACCGTCACTTTGTCACACTCTGTCATACTAGCTGCTGCTCTAGTTCTGTTATGTACTGATATTGCAAGACAGTTTTTGCCTTGACGAGAAATATCATCATGTTTTAATATACAGAGATCTTGTGGCATGAGTTCTCATCACACCCCTACTGAAATGCTTATAGAGTAAATATGGTACAAAGTTGTATTTCTGTCAATTTTTTATTTTTATTTATTTATTTTTATTAATGGCAGAAAAATCTGAAGGCCGTCCGTCATTTCGGCACATTAGAACAGAGAGGGAGATCTACACTAACTTAAAGTTAGGTCATAGGCTACTAAAAAGCCCAAATGGTTGCTATGGTATTGAAAAAGAGGAACTGATGCAGTGGATGAAGGACAACCGAGACCCTCTCACTGCTCCTCGCTATGTGGGAGCTGACAGTCTGTTGAAAAGCCATGGACTGGAGGCAACAGAGCGTGTCTGTGACCACAACAGATCACAGAGGGTTGCAACTGCACCTCTGGTGTAGAAGGAGCACACACAGCAGATTCCTCCTGGTGAAGTGAAATCTCACGTTCAACTGAACTTCTAATCGCTTTCAGAGAGAAATGTTTCCCAACTTCAAAACTTTGTGGAGCTGGGAATTCCAGTCTCCAGCGTGGCAGCAGAGCACAGGTTCAGCTTACAGCTTTAATGAGTGTCTGCCGCTGACAGAGTGAGAAAGTCTAGTGTGACCTCTGCAATACACTGCTAGAAAGTTTGGAATATAAAATGGTGACAGCTGTGTCATCTGAGTTTGAAGTAGACCTTGATGATTTTGACTCAGGTAACAGGGACTCAACTCAGACTCGACTTGGACTGTTCTTTGTTGACTTGGACTCAAACACTGGGGACTCTGGTTCATTTTTGTCCTTAGTGCGGTTTGTTTGGGCAGGTGTGAACACGGCAATCGTACTTGGGTGCAGACTAAAACAAAGGCACTGAGACTCTTGTCTGGAGTTGATCTTGGTACATTTCCAAAAGAACTCTGGAGCAGGTCATTTGTAGTGTGAATGTGATCTGACCTCGATCTGGACCAACTACAAGAGCAGTTCAGCATGTTGTATATGCTCAATATTACCCCCCTTTTCTTGCTCAGTCAACTGTCGGCTGCACATCGTCTTTGCAAAGTATGGAGCAGTATTGTATTTTCTCAAAGTATATTGGGCATTCTGTTGGCATAGTTTTATTTGGTTATTGTCCATATAATTACCACAGTCACAAGCAAATTCCAGTTATGCTGTTTACCCATGTTGCAGAGCAGATTTATTTCATAGGACTAATTCACTGGGAGAGAACACAGATCTTCTTCCTATGTTTACTTTCTTGTTCGTGCCCCAGATTCCTTTAACCAATGAGCAAAGGGAATGTTCTGTGTCCACTGATTCGGGCTACTGCAAAAAATCTGTGGGTGTGAAAACGCTCTCAGAAATGATGCAAACTGCAATTACAGGAAAAAGTCCACTTATCATGAACTGTTTATTTATAGTGATTGAGTGCATGTGAAATGAGTGAAAAGGTGTCTGTCTGCTTTCTTTCTTTTCTCCAGGTTCTGAGAGTGTGGGATCCTCGAACATGCGCAAAACTGATGAAGCTAAAAGGTCACACAGACAATGTCAAGTCACTACTGTTGAATCGAGATGGCACTCAGGTGAGCTAAGATGTCTGGTGTCAACAGTGGTTGGCAGCCATTTAACAAAGTTTTCTGAATCATAATCTGTTCCTTCCCCCTTCAAAAAAAGTGCCTGTCAGGCAGTTCAGACGGGACTATCCGCCTGTGGTCGCTTGGGCAGCAGAGATGTATTGCCACCTATCGCGTGCATGATGAAGGGGTGTGGGCCCTGCAGGTCAATGAGGCCTTCACACACGTCTATTCTGGAGGCAGAGACAAAAAGATCTACTGCACCGACCTGCGTAACCCAGACATCCGTGTGCTCATCTGTGAGGAGAAGGCCCCGGTGCTCAAAGTAAGAAGTCATTATACAAAAACCTGGGACGATTTTTCTCTTGTGTAATAATAATGTAACTTGATGCAGTGCAGTGTTTTTAATTGACAAGTTTGAATATGACATTTTGGGGGATTTTTGGTAACGTTTCATTTTAAAGGGTTATCATTAGGCAGTACTGGTTTTTATGTATGCCGATTATTACCTTCAGCTGGACGGTGCTTCCAGTGTAAACATAAATAATGCTCTGGTAGTGTGTGTTTAACTGTTTAACTGAGTTTCTACTGCATGCTTGCTATCCTACATGTTTCTTTGCTCACAGTCTGTACAGGCATTATGTTAACATCTTCATTTCTTAGTTTTTTTTTTTTTTTTCTTTTATTCTGTGCTTTGTTGGCAGTGATAGCACTTATTTTAATACAAATTATACAGTTTTATACTTTTCATACTTACAAATAAGTTTAAAAACCCATTTTGGAATAATAACCCTAGTATTCTCCTCTGTTGTTCCTCTGCTCATAACTAAACATTTGGAGTCATTCAACCTTTTGCCATCTTTCTGTTTTGCTCAGATGGAACTGGACAGATCTGCTGACCCACCGCCAGCAATCTGGGTCTCCACCACCAAGTCATCTGTTAATAAATGGGTAAGCGTGCATGGCACCTCTGAGATCACCGGCCGACTGTCAGTGTAATGACTCTAGTATACAGTGTAGATGGAGACCTGTGTGTGCAGCTGTGCCTAAAGCTATTCACCTGTAATCCTCCTGCAATTTGTGTAAAAATTTAAAGCAGCTTTGGGACGGTGTGGGTGATACACAAAAGATAATTGCATTATGTGAATCACAACTATTGCTGCAAGGAATGGTGATGGAGTGATTATTGAAATCCAGGACAATCGCTAATGAATATTATTTTGTCTGTTTTTTTTTTTGTGCAGTCTCTAAAGGGAATGCACAATTTCAGGTCATCAGGGGAGTATGATAATGACCTCAGTACTCCTCTGACACCACTGTGTACTCAGCCAGAACAAGTCATCAAGGGTAAACTTGTGTTTTTTAAAAACTCCTGATCGTTCTTCTTTCATTAGAGAATTCTCCATATCCCTCTGGTATTTTTTTAAACTCTTGGTTGTGTTTCAGGAGGTGCCAGTATTATCCAGTGCCACATTCTGAATGACAAGAGACACATACTCACCAAAGATACCAACAACATCGTGGCTTTCTGGGATGTTCTAAAGGTAAACTTCACACTCATTATGGTAGAAGGCAAATGCATCTGTTGTCCACTGTGAACCTGATGGTTAAAATCTGGTGATGCCAGTAGGTTGTATTGACCGTATGTATATGTAACATTCAGGCTTGCAAGGGTGAAGACTTGGGAAAAGTGGAGTTTGATGAAGAGATTAAAAAGCGTTTCAAAATGGTTTATGTGCCAAACTGGTTCTCTGTTGATCTGAAAACTGGGGTGAGTCACAGACCTAGTAACACATGAGCTTTTCATTTGTTTTTGCAGTTGTGGATTTTTCCAACTCTGAAGTCCTTTATGAGCTTGGTTTAGTAGTTTTATAGTGGTGCACTCAGTTTCTCCTTTCTTTTGGGTGCATCATAGATGCTCACTATCACACTGGATGAGAGCGACTGCTTTGCTGCATGGGTGTCTGCAAAGGATGCTGGGTTTTCAAGCTCTGATGGGTCAGACCCAAAGTGTAAGATATCTTATCTAACACATTTTATATACAAATGAATATTAAAGTAAGCTTGAGCTGAGGCTCCAACTCAATATTATTATATTTCACAACTGTGGTCTTTGCAGTGAACCTGGGTGGACTACTGCTGCAGGCTCTGCTGGAGTTTTGGCCTAGAACTCGCATCAATCCTATGGATGAAGATGAGAATGAGGTGAACCATGGTAAGGAGACAGTTCATTGTCTATTCACTAAAAAAATTATCAAACCGAATCTACCAGCCTTCTGCGGTGATGCTCAGAGAACTTCAACGAGGCACCATTATTCATAGTTCTGCTGCCATGACATGACGTGCAGCCATCTTGATTGACTACACACCACTGTCAGTGAGCGGTAGGTGTCCGAGGCATCATTCAGTTTGTCTAACAGAAGGATTGTGTTCTGGTGCCCACAGTGAATGGAGAGCAGGAGAATAGGGTCCAGAAAGGAAATGGATATTTCCAAGTGCCACCCCACACGCCAGTCATCTTTGGGGAAGCAGGAGGCAGAACTCTATTTAGGTACTGTTTCACTGTCTGTTAGGTTAAACGTGACTGGAGTAAGCTGCCATGGGCTTTGTGATGTCATCACTTTATATTTGTTATACAGATTTGTCATAGCTTAGAGAAATGTTAATAGTTCACTCATTGATTGCTTCTGTCTTGTTATGTGCTTCAGGTTGCTATGTAGAGACTCGGGTGGAGAGACTGAGTCCATGTTGCTGAATGAGACAGTCCCACAGTGGGTTATTGATATAACTGTAGATGTGAGTATCAAAGCTGTTTTCACCTTCTTGTTTATATAGATGAAATACATCATCTTTGTAAAACGAGTGACAGAGCAGGTGTTTTATGTCTCTATCTTGAAACACCTTCTTTTCTTCCATCCTCTAACTTTCTCATCCCACCTCCTTCCTTTTTTTTCCTTCTAGCTGCTCTTTGCCCCTCCTGTCACAATTTAAATGAGGGGCCAAAGTTAACCAGCTAACCAGTCTAGCATTATATCTTAGGTAATCACACACATGATGGCTGAGTAGTCTCTGAAGTGGTCTACAACTAGTTTCTAAAATATAAAAATTGTGCCAAAAATATAAAAACGCATGGCCTTGGATGGTAGCTGCAAACGTTCCTCTATTCAGTTGGATACTGTGATCACTAACATGCCTGTTTATGCTGTTCCATGCATTTAGAATGGACCAGAGCTAAAGTTGTCTTGCCCAAAGTTACTCAGATAACTAACATGCCAGTAGCATCAAATGCTTTATGTGTGCTGAAGGCAAACATGGATCGAACGGTGAAGATGGAGAAACTTCATTTTGGAAAACAGCTGAAAGCAGAGACCTAAAGCATTGATGTGCACTGACAGTGCACCCCCTGCTGTGCTGTGTCCCTCGAGGCATTTGATTTACATGTGTCATTCTTCTATTCCAGAAAAATATGCCCAAGTTCAACAAAATCCCATTCTACCTCCAGCCACATTCTTCCTCTGGTGCAAAAACTCTAAAGAAGTGAGCTTTTTAAAAACTTGTGTTTACTTTGTTTATATCAAACAAAGAGTACAGATGTTCATCTATACAGACCTGGATGCTGCAGGTCTGTGTTGTAGCCTGTCTGGTTTTACTGGCACTGTGTTCTGCAGGGACCGTCTCTCAGCCAGTGACATGCTCCAGGTGAGGAAGGTGATGGAACACGTTTATGAGAAGATCATCAACCTGGACAACGAATCGCAGACCACCAGCTCCTCGGCCAATGATAAGCCCGGGGAGCAGGAGAAGGAGGAGGACATGGCCATGCTAGCCGAGGAGAAAATTGAACTCATGTGTCAAGACCAGGTGAGCGCAGTTTTTGACGATGCATCATGTGCATTCTTAATGGTAGTCCATTTTAATAACCTTAACTTTCCCTTTTTTCCTCTCTGAACCAGGTTCTAGATCCCAAC